AAGATTGATCTTTTTGGTCAGACGTGCTCACAAGTTATGATATTTGCTACTATAGACAAGTATATGCATAGCAATGATTCATAAACCAGTGAGTGCATACTACGAAAACCATACAAATGTATTTATGCTAATAGTGTAAGTTTCGAGTTGTATTTAATTCCGGAAACCACGAAGATATTGGCCATTCGTGAATTTAAACAGCGGTCCAGAGCTGCCAACCATGCACTGGTTCCAATGCACAATCTAGCAGATATCGAAGTAGCTGTGGACAAAGTACACGCATTCATCAAAACTGAAAACATTTTATTATTTTATATGTACAAATTTATTGAAATTTGTTTATTGTCATAACTTAGTTATTTACTCTGATGTTTTATTCAGCAGGACAAAAGGAACACATTATGATTAATATTGTCAATTTAATTCAATATTGAATATTGTCCCTGGTTGAATGATTCTTGCGTCAAGGTCAAATATGAAGTTGAATTATATTTTGTCCCCAAAAACTTCTTTCCTTAGGATATTCGTTTACTACAATAATCTTCCTGCCAATGTGTTTGGCTTTTAAGTAAGTAATACGTCAGCGTGTACTCCCGCTTAGGCATATGACTCTGATTGTTTATTATTTAAATAAATATGTAGTTCCAAAAATATGTTTTAAAATAGGTTAAAAACCCCTTTACTGACGTGGTGTCCTATTTTCAAACTCGGCCGGAACACAATTGAATGATCTTACACAGTTTCTCAATATATTTAGTTAACCGGTCTCCACAATTTGTTTCATATGTTGGGCCCAAAGGACTGCCAGTCAATCGGCAAAGCACTAAAACAAAAACACGATTTCTCATTCGTCGACTGGGCTGCACCAAACACTCCAGACAAGTGCGAATAAAAGATCAAAGCTGCTCGATCCAAAATATTCCGTGCACCTACTATACAACAAAAGTAAGTTTCACTTTTCCCCAAACAGTATAAGTTTGAAATCCTGTCAGCTTTGATAATAGTTTAAGTCATTCCTTTCTGGAAATTACATAGATTGTAAATTCAATACATTTTAGCCGTGTTCTTTCTTTTTATATAAATATCAAATTCTCAATTTATAAATATCAGCCATTTTATAGAAACACGATGAACATACAGTACCAATGTATTGTTTTTCTATTTAAGTTATTCAAGGGACGGTTCCTGTAAGGAGGAACAAGAATACTACTTATGGATCCTAAACTCTTGGGCTTCTACTATTTGGACCCAAGTCAGCGTTTGAAATTGCAAAACATCTCTTGCGTATAATAATGTCGATTATGTCACAGTCAAATTGAGGTTCCATAGCGGCATCTCAATCAAATGTTGGAAAGAAGGTGTAAGATATCTGTATATTGTACGACCCACTGAGTTTTCTAAAATTTTCTATCATTTTGTTGCTCTATTTATTAAATTCATTCAACTGTTTGGTATTATCATTTTTCTCTTTTAGCGCAATTGCTCAGTAAAATATTTAATGTTTTCTATAAAACACGTGATAAAAAGTTTCAGTTTTCCGTTAATACTACACGTATTTGTTTCAGAATAATATGCTTAACTGGATCGTCCCAAAACGAGACATCAGAAGCTGTCCTAGTGTCTGTTAATGGAATGATATCCAACTCAGATGTCACGTTTTATTACAGAGTACATATAACATATTTGATAATATTCTGCACAATGTAATTTAAGAACATTCACTTCATTTTTCAAAATGTGTCCAATCATAACGAGAAACATTTATAAATGCACATTTGATTTGTGGGTCGTTTTTCCCATTTAAAGTTTAAACATCAAAAAAGAGTTAAGAGAAACGTTAGGCTCATTGAACATATTGTTTAGAGAGTAGCTTTTGCTTTAGGATTTCATAATATTTGTCGTCATTCATTTCCTAAGCCCATTTTGTAATATAATTGTATACAGATAGCACACCTTTTTAGATCTTAAAGATATACTATGCTCATTTTAAGGTAAAATATTTTTTTATTTCAGCCAATAAAATCCTGAAATCAATGAAATTCTTACTGAATATAACTAATTGTAAGAAGTGAATGCACAACTTATGTGTGAGAAGCTGAATTCCTTATTACTGGTCAAGTTGATATGGTCCTTTCTGCCAGTTTTTATAAGGACAATACGTATTTACACTTTGCTTTTCTTGAGTGTTCGCAACATATTTTTATGTGTACAAATAGATGTTGTTTTTTTTTCATTTAAAATATTTTGTACAGAAATAACACAAATTTGGGCTTAAATATCTTAGAATCTTTGAAGAAAAAAAGCAACTTAAGGAACCAAGATATGAATAGTTGTTGGTATATTGTTGAGCGAACCCCCTCACACTCGGGTTATAAAGTCAGCATAACCTTCGAACTTATTTTGTTTCTAAGCAATAGGATGATATATTCCTACATTCCTTTTTAAATTAATATAATGATAATGATAATAATTATAATAATTCTTATTATTATTATTATATTTATACACTGTTGTGAAATACATCTGCTTTGAAGGTTCCAACTGCGACAGGCATTGAACCAAGTTTCGGACCAGAAGCGGGTGGGCCACGGGTAACTATATTTGGCGAAAATTTAGGAATTGGAAATAGAAATGTTTATGTAACCTTTGGCGGTTCCAAATGCTCGAGCCCAGAAGTAAGACCAGCTCTGACTTTAGGAAATGTGTAAGTTAAATGTAAAACAAATGAAAACTCAATATGAACAACGGTTTGACTTTTTCATAAACCATCATTCATTTAAAATTTTAAATGACAGTGACATGGGCCCTATTGAATAAATAATGATTTTGTGTAACACAAATGTTACAATTTTGTGAACATTATTGCAACTCAAAGATAATAAACTGTATACAAGGAATGTTTAAATATGCAGGCATATGAACGCTCAATAATTCGAAAACATACATTCTGACGTCAATCAAATTTTGAAGCGGAAGAATTAAACACAGCACATAATTTAGATGACTTAAATTATGACTCAAGTCTATACTGTAACTCGTCAAAACTCACCTCGATCTACATTTTCAACCGCGCTTTGACGAACAGGAAAAAAAGGTCACTTGGTCATTGTCTTTTATAACGTTTCTAAACACAGGACTAACGTTTTGTAGGTTTAAGTTTTGAAGGCATGCTAAAATAATGTTAAAATGTTGAGAAAAAATGCGCTGTTCTCTTGATTCAAATCCGCAAATAAAATAAATTTATGAGCCAATATAAAGTTGATACTGCAATACAAGGTCTGGTGAAATATGTGACTAGATGTTGGATTTATAAAATTTACGTAATAAGGATTTCACTTTTTGTACTTGTTAGGCAAGTTTAGCTCATGATATCGATAACAATATATATTGAAATGTTCATCACTAGAAACACTACAGTTTATGTGTAATAAAATATGAATATTAATGAGACGTTATAAATGTTTGCTTTATTTTGATTAATAATCCATGAACAAAACGTTCATGTAAACTATTCTTATTGTTCTTGTACTAATACAAATTGTTACTAGGTAATATACTAAACCAAAAAAGAAAACACTTCCTCTGTGTTTAAGCAGAGATATAGCGTTATTAAATTCAAAATGTCAAATGAACGGCTATGTGTCAAAAAGAACAAACTTAAACTCGATTTTAACTCGCTAAAAGCGATTTTCACGCACCTGCACGGGCCATTTGATAGTGTATATTTTATGAAACCTTTGTAATTCTAAAGGGTTTCATGTCAATAAGAAAAAGACTTTGCATTTTTTTTTCAGTTTTCTATATTTTGACATGCCTAGACTTCCGAAATATTAACGGGAACATGCCATTGCCATGGATAATGCTTGTCGACACCTTAGGTAACGTTTTCAAACAACAGGGTGTACTGAAGATCGACCACGTAGTGGATGTCCACGCACGACGACGCGTTCTTAAGACCGCTTAATTCGGAACACCTAGCAGCGAAATCACTTCAAAACTGCCACAGCTACTGCTGCTAACACCTGATACACATAGCAGCCGTATATCTGCCCAAACTGTGCGCAATCGCTTGCACGAAGGTGGGCTTCACGGACGTCGACCATACGTTGGTTGTGTTTTGAGGCGGCGTCAACGCAAAAATCGTGTTAATTGGGCATATACAGACAAACGCTGGCTTTGACAAGGATAGAATGACAATCTTTTATCTGACGAGTCGAGGTTTTTCATTCATCGAGCTGATGGAAGGGTTCGAGTATAACGTAGAAAAAAAACGTTTTGCCGACTAAAACCCCACGCTACCGAGATAAAATTATTGCTAGGCATGTTATCCCACGGTTTCAAAATAATGCCATGTTCACTCTTTTTCAATATGATATTGCTACAAGCCATACAACTAGGGAGACTGTAAATTTCTTCAGGGCAACTCACATTGCATTTAATAAAGACTGACCTGCCAACAGCTCTGATCTTAATCCCATTGAACACCTTTGGAATAATTTTGACCAGCGTGTTAGATGTCACCTTATTCCACCGTTAAACGTCATTCAGCTAAGACAATTTTAATTCAGGAATGGAACAACATTACGCTAAACCAAATCAATACGCTGATCCGTTCTATGCGCCAACGATGCCAAGAAGTCCTTTATGCTGAAAGTGGTCATACCCGATACTTATTTGTGATGTCGTAGGGCGATCCCTTCCACATTTAAACTACCATTTCTCTACTTTTGAATAAACCCTCAGCAATAATTCTTTCATGGAAAATGCAATAAAATACACTTTCAATACATATAAATCAAATTTTATCCTAATTTTCATATTTGTGTAAATCTGCACTTTTATACAGAGGGAGTATCTTTTTTCATGTTCATTACATATATATTGCGGATTGCAACAATTCTTTTGGTGGTTTGGAGAAAATATGAAGATATTTTCGAGCTAAAATCATTCATTCTATTATGAATTGTTGTAAACTTACGAGGACTATTTTATACAAAATTCACTTCCTACAATAACTTCCTTATACGTGACTTTTACTTAAAAAAAGATTAGGATTGAAACTTACTTTGTCATCATTTACTATTTTCATAATCTACAATAAAATTCATATGAATGTTACCATTGTTTTTCAAAATAATGTTAAAAATCTTGTAAAGGTAGATCCACTGGAGATATTGAAAACAACAATTTAATATAAAAGTACAGACTCGGTTTGTGAAAGTTTATGTACATGTGGCACATCTCATCCGCATCAAGCATCGACATAAGCGGTATCAATCCCTAGAGCGGAATGCAATCTTCTATACTTATAAGCTGGGATCAATGATCCCGAAGAACCAGCAAAGTATAACAACGTTGAATATACATAAAGAGACGGGGAATACATTGACCTTCTTTGAGGTGACACTGTAAAAATCCTGACATGTTTCCAAAATGTTTGTCTCGTCATAACGTTACCATTAAAAAACTTTTCGAAATAAAGTAACAATTATTAATGAGTGTAGATTTTAAGAATTATCTTTTTTTGGAAAACAGGTCAAAAAAATATGGAAAAGGAAAATCAATTATTTCGTCAATGTTTTTACACATTGAATGTGTATCATTGATCTTTTTCTGCCTTAAATGCCATGTTCTTTTTATATTTTTAGAACACCAACAAACCTTACTATCGTTTGTACAGCTGGTAAAAAAGAAGAACATGCAATCAACGGTGTTTCTCTCAAGATTGATTGCAGCGAAATTACAATACCATATGCATTTACATTTATCGCCGATCCGATTATTCATCCGTTATCACCCCAGAAAGCATTTCTAAGGTATATTCACAAAAAAATAGAGGAAAACTTTTCCCACCCCCATAGCACTGGCTGAAAATCAGTACCTAACATTTGAATATGAAAATCATGAAAAATTCGGAATTAAGAAACATCTTCAGAGGAGTTTAAAACTTAACATAAAAATGCTGAATATTGTGTCTTATATTTGAGTCACAAAGAGATGAAAGGATCAGATTAACCTAGAAATTTCAATTCAGATGAAAATATTTATTGTCCACATTCTAAGCTTTTGTGACTCTTGTTACAAATAAAGCAAGGTATGGTTTCTTTAAGTTCGAATAGGTATCAGTGGCTTTTATCTGAAAATAAATTAATTTTTTTATTGGACTTCTTATAATGGTCTAACAGCAGTTTAATTGTTATCTGAAGATAGGTAACTAGCGTTCTTCACTTCAGTGTTGTTATATTTTTCTGGTCCTTCGGGATCATTGATGCCAACACTATTGAGTGTTGAGAATTGAGTACCGCTCAAGCCGGTGCTAGGGGGCGTGAGGGATGTTGCACGTATTCATTATCCCTCATGTACAGACTCAATCAAACCGAGTCTGCAATTCTCTTGTAATTTTGTTGTGATTAATGCTTCCGAGGGATCACTTTGTTTCCAGATTTTCATCGAAGTACATGTAAATATTGCTAACAATTAGAGCTTTCTTTATGAAGTGTAACCGTTCTTTTTCTTTCTCAGTGGAGGAACTAAAATTACAGTTGAAGGGGTACAGTTAACCAACGCTCATAATGCCAGATTAATATTACGTCACAAAGTAGTAATTAAGGTAATTTGTTAAAAAGGAAACTTACTGACATATTTGGCCCATCAACAAAGAAAGGAAACAGTAGGTGACATTTCGTTGCTGACTTTGTACGTGCGTTTAGATTTTTTTCTACTATATTGTGCATTTATTCATATATTACATAAACTATTTGGTATGTCGGTGGTTAGTTTTGTTTGGGGGATCCTCATTTTTATTGACTGACGATCTTGTTTAGAAAAACACACGTAATATTTTAGACGTATGATAATCTGAATGATTTTTCAATTTTATTTCTGTGACTCAGGATTCAATTCAAATTCCTGATATCTACAAGTGTAGCGTTTGCATTTGTCTCTACAATAGGACAGTGGTAAAAAGTTTGTGAATATGAATCAACTATAGGTATTGGTGGGCATTGTTAAATTCAATGATGCTTTCTTTAATTTCTTTATTTTGTTTGTGTTATGTGGTTATTTTGTGTTGTTTGTTTTGTTTGTTCCCCAGCCCCAAAAAGAGGCATATAGTTTTTGAAGCTTTCATTTGTCTTTCTGTTCTTCCGTCCGTGACAAGTCTATGAATTTGTCATTCCTTGATAAATTATAAAATAAGTTTGATTAAATGTGTATCACATTGAGGCAGTGTGTAATATGCAACACCTAGGTCTGAATCTCAAAGGTTATTGTCACACTCTGAATCCAAAAGGAAATTTATCCATAATATATTGGGTATAATGACGGCGCTCAGGGTGCAAGAATCAGGTTACTGACTTGTAGATAAAATAAGTAATATCAAATTTTGTATACGTACACAAATGTTTGTGTCCGGTCAACAATTTGTTATGTCCGGATGAATTTGAAAATTATTATGGATGAATTTGTTTGACATAATGACAATGAGTCATACGCATGAACCAACAAGTTTAAACTTTTAAATGGTCATGATATGAATTTTTGTAAATCAACACTAATGTGTTTGGTCAACAATTCTGAGGTTCCTGGGTGGATTTAAAAATTTTTATGCATAAATGTGTGTGACAATGTGTCGGGAGTATGAATCAGGTCCCTACTTCAAAGGTCAATGTGTCACATTTGTATTCGAAATTCATGATAATTTTTTTCATTGAAGTGCATTCTTTCTAATATTATTATCTAAAATGATCAGGTTTCAAGTTGAAAAAATGTCATATTTTAATAATCAACATGTTGTTGTCTTATAGACTGGCGATTGCATAATACTGTCAGGAAAACTAGTAACCTGTCAAACCCCAGAAGCGCCTGAAAGTGTTAGAAAAGAGCTGTTGAAATTTGACAATACAACAGATCGATTTTCAAAAAATGTTACAGTCGAGGGTTTATTTTATTTGGATAATGTTAATATAAGTGTTGAAATATGCTACTGTCAAGATCCAATTATTAAAGATCTGACTGAAGGAGAAAATGTCGTAAAATTTGAAGCAAACACGAGACGTCTGAATATTTATGTACGTATTTATTTAAGAAGGATAAAATTAATACCAGATTCTGTTTAATCTTTTAGTGTTTGAATATCAAAGATTTCAACCTTGTTTAGAATAATGAAATTTAGAAAATTATAAAAGTAATTGGTATTATAAATTATCATAGGGTGTTCATGGTTAAGCGGTAAAGGTTGTTGACATTAGAGCACTTGTCCCTTCCCCACCACAGTAGGTTCGTTTCCGCCCTGAACTTTAAAATATTTCATGGGAGATAATTGTTTAGCTAGCTTATGGAACATCGGTGGTTCTACTCATGTCCCTGCATTGTCTAAAAACAAATGCAGGAGTGGCATATGAGGTTTTCTCTACTAGTAAACCTGGAAAGATGCCATATGAGCATTACAGTATTGGTGTGATTTACAACCAAACATCAACAGCATGAATTAACATCTGTACATAGAATATTATTTCATTTCAATTCTGTCTCACTGGTGTCTTCAGGTCTATAATTTTATGTGTATTAAATCTTGCAAATTTTGAAAGTTATTGTAAGACCTTATAATGGAATATGGAACATCTTTTTGGCAATATAGCTCTAACGTACATTGCAAGAATCTAGAGACGGAGTCATAATAGAAAACAGTTTACCATCCCCTTATTATTTCAGGGTTATATGCTGACCCATGTTGCAACAAAATTTGATATAAATGTTACAGTCGGCGTGGAATCATGTGTCATAGTGGAGCTGAACATGACGTGTATAACATGCATTGCCCCTCAATACGAGCCAAGGAGTGGAATACCAAATGCAACACGGTCTGAAGTTAATGTAAGGAATATTCATTCAACTTTTGTAGATTATATATCAAGTATTTAATTGAAAATATATACTTAAATAGACCTGTCACTGTGTATGAAAATGTAAATTGTTTCGTTTATTTCTTATTAAGAGCTTGGCAGACTAAAATACCCAAGGTTATGAGAAAATATCGCTGAGCAATTTCCGAGCATACTACCTTAAAGACTGAATAATTGTTACGTTGCCAGTTCAATAGGATTTTCCTTGAAAAAAGCCTGGCCCTTTTAATGTTTAGAATTAACACAATAGGGAGCCAATGTTTAAAACTGCCGAAAATCATACAAAATCTTTTTTAGCCTAAAACTGCATGAAAACGCCACCGTCAGTTGTTTTTATTTTCTTCGTCTGGTGACCTGTCATCCTTTTTGTAACCATAACATACTTTTTGCTCCTATACCCTACGTTTATTGTCATCCATATACGTATCTTTACTCTTTTTTCAATTTATAGGTAACAATTGGAAACATACAAAAGATGATTGGATATGTTGAGTATACAGAAACGTCACCAGGCACGACTGGAACACCGGAAACAATAGAAAATTCTTCCAGTTATTCTAGTTCTTCTGATAACTCTGTTACTAGTTCTTCTGATAACTCTGTAATATTGTCAGTTGATTTCTCCGTTATATTGTCAGTGACTGGAGCGGGTGCTGCGCTCATTTTTATCAACGTTACGGGTAAAGTAATCACATACGCATAATGTCCTTTTTTAATTTTGTGCTTGTGTAAACACATATGTTCACTAAAGGGATAATTGCATGGTAACACAATTTTGAAATAACACTTGTAGTTTTCTTTTCCTATTTGTTGTTTTTATTGTATACAAATTATATAGCACACATATATATATATATTTGATGTATGTAATCTATTTTTTTTTACTGATGTACTCGCTGCTTATTAAACAACATGAAATCAAGTATGCGTTCTATAAAGCGAGATGTATTAACGTTTTTAATCAATGTTGAATCCAATACGAAAAAGCTTGGTACTTGGACACTCTGTTTATAATCTACCAAAACGTGGGAGAAAGAGTGAGTTATTGGTTATGCAGTATTAATACGGGCGTTGTTAAATAATTTACGGAAAAGGATTTCAGTTGGCAATATCGGAAAGGAAAGAAGTCAAATTTAATGTCATGTCATTTTATCAAAATGTCTCAACGAATTACATTTATTTCATTTTTACAGCTGTAGTTTTGATATGTCGTCAATACAGAAAAGCGAAGTCAAGAGTACGCAATCTAGTAAACAAGAACAGTACGAAAAAAGAACCCCCCTTTGAGTTACGATTGAGCAGGTACATTAATTTAATGCAATATTTTCAGTTTGTGCTTTTGTTAAGGCAGTAATTGATTTTTATGACTCAAAATCATCGTTTTTTTTAATTGATATAATTATGAAAGTACTTGTTTTACGTTACAAGTGGTTTTGACTTCTTCTGGGAGTAAATTAGTGATGTTTTCATATTATTATCCATTAATTTAGAGACATTTGTCTCTTTTTATGCCCCCAAAGGGAGGCTGAATATAATCGCACCGTCTGTCCGTCCGTCTATCCGTCTGTCCTACTTCATTCGTGTCCGGACTGTAACTTTGTCATACATTGAGGGATTTTGAAATAACTTGGCACAAATGTCTACCACATCAAGACGATGTGAAGCGTTGAAAAACCACGTCCTTACCTGTAAGGGCAAGGTTACACTATCGTTTTGAAGTATCACATTATCGTAATTAGAGTAAATAGGTACACACATTCATGCCCGGACTGTACCTTTGTCATGCAATAAATGATTTTAAAATAACTAGGCATAAATGTCTACAACATCAAGACGATTTATTGCGTCTAATTATCACGTCCCTACCTCAAAGGTCAAGGTCGCACTACCATTTTGAAATTCACTTTATCACAATTTGAGTTTATAGGTACACACATTCGTGTCCGGGGTGTAACTATGTCATACATCGAAGGATTTAAAAATAATTAGGCTTAAATGTCTACCACATCAAGATGACATGTCGCGACAAAAACCCATGTCCCTACCTTCAAGGTCAAGGTCACACTTATAGTTTGAAGTTACTCATTCTCTCGAGACGAATTTGAAGATACTTATTTATGTCCGGACTGTAACTTTGCCATGCATGGTAGGATTTTAAAATAACTTGGCACAAATGTCTACCATATCAAGACAATGTGTCGCGATTAAGGCTCATGTCCGTCTGTCCGTGCGTGCGTCCCCACTTACACAACACTCATGTCCAGACTGTAACTTTGTCATGCATTAAGGGATTTTGAAATAATTTGGCACAAATGTCTATCTCATAACAACATTTTGTCGCGTCCAGGAACCACGTCCCTTCTTCAAAGGTCAAGGTCACACTTATATTTTGAAGGTTTATGCTATCACAATTACAGATTACAGGTACAATTATACAAAGAACAATATTCAGCAATTAGTTACTTTCATTCTCTTTTCTTTTCATAATACCTGCATGCATAAGAAACATTTTCGGGGGCATTCGTCACTTGGGTGACCACTCTTGTTTCGTATACCAATGTAACAATTAATCCGTATCGTAGTTTCATATTACTAGATATAAACCCCACATTGAATACCAAATTTATAAAATCACTCTGCATTATTGTCAGATATTGTATATTTGGCCTTATTGATTACCGGTATGGCCGGTGCTAGGGGATTGCAAGCGTGTGAGACGTTACATATTACATTGCACCTAGTGAGCATACTTAATCATACTCTTTTGTTGGGGTACATTTCTCCATAAGTATCAAATATATTTACTTTACATGTATATCTGGATCACTTGTTTGGTATTAAATTTGAAATGCATCTCTTGGGAGGGTAGATCGTCCTGAAAACAATTTTTGCTTACTTATTTCCCTTTTTTATACGTAGTGTACATTTTAAGTTGAAGTCCGCCTTTACACTCCGAGAACTTAACTACCAAGATCGTTGTCATTCACATCTTATTAGCAAAACAGAATTTGGGGAAAAGACAATACATCAAAATATGTCAGCATTCAAATAACATGGTCCTGTTATTGAAAGTTATACTGTTAGTTTAGCCTATTTCACCGCTATTTTATCCATATGACTATATTTTGTTATTTTATCAAAGAATTGCGGGTTCGTCGTGTGAGATGAACTACTCCGGGGTCTACAATGAACCCTATGAATCTGACCACTATGACACGATCGCAGCAGACGACATTTCAATGGACAGGTGCAAAACTGATAATAATTCTCTAACGTGTCCACGCAAGAGCGTTTCCGAGACAAGCACTTCGACCAGTGAACAATCCCAAAACTATCTACACCCGACTAACCATATAACTGTAGAAGTTCAGCTAGAAGAACCAAAGCATCCAATGTTGAGTCCGAACCCGAACTAACTGGCGATCAGTGACATTTACTTGTTATTAACGATAGTGACCTTTCAGATTAGCTTCTTGAATAAAAAATGTATCGGACAATCCGTTCACAGGCAAACTGATTGAATACGAATACGAAACGCAGGCTTAAATTGTTTGGTTTCTTTACTGTGTTTCATGTTTTTTTGTTGTTGTCTATGTTTTTATTTCTAAAATTATTTGAGCCCGACGAACCATATTACTGTAGAAGTTCAGCTAGAAGAATGATTTATCCGAGCCCTAACTCACTGGCGATCAGTTATATTTACATGTTATTAACGATAGTGACCTTTCGGATTAGCTTCTTGGATTAAAAAGTATCGAACAATCCGTTCACAGTCAAAATGGTAGAATACATATTTAAATTCACTCTGCATAACTAAACACTTGAATATTACCTAAAACTTTAAGTAAAGGGAAGTAAATGCAACAACACCTACGTACAAAGCTTTTTTTGTTATCTCCCCTCATCTACCATTCGCATAATGGAATTTCTACTCTATACCATACCTTTTGTTATTGTTAAAAATTAGACTTCTCCATTTATACCTTAAAATGATTCGCACGGTTACTTTAATTTTTGTAGTATATTTATTTACGTAAAAATATTGATTGTCGGTACTATTGAGCAGTTATCGTCAATTTAATATTACACATTGGTGAAATAGAAAGCATACATTTATATATGTGTGTGTGTGTGTGTGTGTGTGTTTGTTTGTATGTGCGTGTGTGTGTACGTGTGCGTGTGCGTGTGACGAGACAAAATGAAACAATATCTTTGAATGTAATACTAGCTTTCTTTATTATTTAATATGTTTTAGTAATATATATACACAACAGTTTTGGCTCTCCACGTACTTAAAAACTGGAAGCACAATTCTATTATATTTTTCGCTAGTATGTAAATTAACTGCTATTTGAGCCTCATTATACTTTATTCATGTTTATTACTCCATTATGTCATGTTTGTACATGAAATGAGAGAATAAAATGTTTTTTGACTAGACTTGACTTGACTACGCAAAGCAAACTTTAATTGTTTTTTTAGTGTGTTTCATTTTTGTTGTTGTTGTTGTCTATGTTTTTATTTGTTTGCTGTTCTTCGCGACTTTTAGTGTCAGATTTTACTAGTTTCAGATACGCTCAAATTTAATTCGAAACTACTGATAATTACTATACACACCATAGTTAAACTCTGTATGAATACATGTTGTCATTTAAAAAAAAAACAAGCAGTTTCTAAAAGAAAGATCAAAATCAATATGACCAGTAATAGCTAGAGAATGCAGTTTCCACAGAATACTGTTTGTGCATTCTCTTATTCAGATTTGATATGTCCAGTAAAAAATTATAAGATTTCAATTTCCTGCAATAATATTATTTTACCCATAGCTATATCTATACAGTATATCTAACAGAAAACAGGCAAGAAATATTTTTATGACAAGATGTTTTGCAATATTTATATGACATAATATATGCATGCATATTCAAAATGTAAATAGTTTGTACAGAAAAAGAAAACAAACATTATTTTGTGCTTGAATCATGCTCTTGTAGACTTGTACATAAAAGGATAATCAATTTAATGGACTGTTATACGTGTATTACAGTTTCAACACTTCTCTCCATTTTCAATTTTGAATATTTCATTTTTCCCATACTCTGCGCTTATTTTCAATAATCGGGGGACTATTAGAGTTGTAATTTGCCCGATATTTCCTTTGTATTTATGACACTCATTGTCACTGTTTATTAATTAAAACAAACGCTTTTCAATCATTAAGTCAAACGAAAAATCGATGATTCACTGACAAATTTACAAAATAATTTTAATTAAATGCTTATCATAGGCATGTGTCATACGAAAGACGTTATCAAATGTTATCTTTCAAGGAATCAACCAGGAAGTCTGGGATGCATAAAACACATTGGACTACACTATTCTGATTTTAAGTAAAATAATTTTTAAATGATTAATTATATTTTTTTTTTTGGAGATGGATTTAGATTTCAATAAATTATAAAATAAATGTCTGTTTCTTTATAATTATTTTTTCTTAGCTATAAGTTATTTTTATTAAGTTGTGTTTGAAGCCACGATTATGACATGGCGGTTTTCCAACTTAGCTGGTGGAAAAAGATTTCAACTTTAAAGCTAGCAATTACCACTTCCGTTCATTAACAGGCTCAATCAAACCGAAATTTTGCCTTGTTGGGCTTTCTCTAGAAATTCCGTTTTTCTCTATTCAAATGCTCCTTTACGCCATCTAGATAGTTTCTTAATTGAATGAATTGTGAGTCTTTTACATGATTGGAACTACTTGTGTGGTGTTTGGTGTTTTTGTATAAAATCTTTAAATGAAGTTTATACTGATATTGCAGGCTCAAATAATAATAAATATGTCTCCTTATAAAATGTTACTATAAACTTTCCGTGTTTGCATCATGTTATGTTCCAATTAAAAACCATTGTTAGATCCAATCGTATCAATTAAGGTTCATTATCACTTCCAATTGCAAAAAAAGATAAAAAAAAAAAAAAGAAAGAAAAAGAAAAAAAAAAAAAAAAAAAAACAACAACAACTGTATGTAAAAAAAAGAGAACAGTATCCCTAAATAAAGTCCAACATTGCAAAATTGAAAAAGTTGCATGCTCGGTTTGATTGCGCCTGTTAATCGGTAATGTCAAGTGCAAACTACTGTCCACGCTACCTATCACTAGCTTAAGCAGAATTTAACATTTAACATGAATTCAATATTTAAAGACGAAGATGGTGATATTTTGAGTTAAGAACCATCCGCATATGATTTCATATGGCGGTTTTCATGGAATCTTCAATGTGACACGTTGGTGTCATTCTATGAAAAGCGGCGCATAGTTTCCATGTAATAGAACTATATTGTACTCCATGAAGCCTCATTTATCATTCTCTAGTCCGAAACATCCGTATCAAATTCATATGTTACTATGTCTTGTCTTTTTATTTTACTTTCGTTTTATTATGTGTGATATATGCACTAAATATAGTCCTGCAAATAAAAGTGATTGCTAGGAGTCAAAATGGGAAAGGTTTGGTTTACAACAAAAAATGTGTGGTAACCAGCTGAACACTTCTCCTGAAGACCTAGATTTAACAAGAAACGAAATGAGAGCTACTACAAATATAATACAATTGCAATCAGTGTTCAATCATAGTAAAATGAAACTATTTTCGAAATGAACTGTATGCTACTGTAAGTTTTCGATACCTCTCCAATGGAATCAGGAGGGAGATATTTTTTGGCGTTTTATTTGGCAGTCAGAATTTTGTTTCCGCGCTATTTCTCTACAACTTCTGGCTGGAAATCAGCGAAACTTTATGGAAACCATCAATACCAAGAGGAAATGGGTACATCGTGGCCTTGTTTGGGTCCGACCTTTCAACGCAGTTATGGCCCCTAGATTAGTTATGCAGTATGCATATAGAGCAATAATCGTTTCCGTGCTACTTCTTTCAACTACTGGCTGGAATTCTTTGAAGATGTACATATCTTCGCCTTGTTTGGATCAGACCCTTCAATACAGTTATCGTCCTTGAATAGTTATGTAGTATGCATATACAGCAATTAGTGTATCCTTGCTATTTCTTAGAAACTGCTTGATTTATTTCAAGATAACTTTGTGGAAACAATCAATACCAATAAGAAATGCACATATCAACACATTTTTTCCGGTCAGACCCTTCAACACCTTCAAGACCCTTGGTTAGTTAAGCATTATGTATATAGAGCGATAATCGTTTCCGCGATATTTTATCTGCAGCTGCTGGATGGATTTCAAGAAAACATTGTGGAAACAATCATTTTCAATAGAAAATGTGCATACAATGTATCATCACATTGTTCCGGTCGGATTTTTCAAGACAGAATTATGGCCCTTGATTGGTTTTGCAGTAAATATTTATAGTAATATTGCTAAATTTTCTTTGCTGAATTTATTTCAACAAGACTTTATTGGAGCCATCGCCGTCAATAAGAAAAAATGTGCATCTCATTGGCATGTCCAGATAATACCTATATAATACGGATTTATGGCTCCTGTTATAAATTTTTATCATGTACATAGAATAACATTTTTATGCAATTTATTTTACAACAACTGACTGAATTTTAGCAGATCTATGTCAATCATCAAAGATTGGTTTATATGAATATATAAGTAAAGCCTTGGGTCTCCAGTTGTTGTGTAAGTGATAACCAGTGCTTGCCGGGGGATATTCAACAAAAATTCTTTAACCTTGATTATAATTTTTTAAGTTCTTGGTGTATTGTCTTCATATTTAGCCTGCGCAACAACCGTTGGGACAAGGCATTTAAGTGGACCAGACTAGATTTGACCTTCATTCATTAGTGAACTTGATCTTCAAGGTCAAATGGCTGTTTGCATCTTTGGCTATACGTGAGTTTTAAATGGATTTTCTTCAAAATAAATACAGCAATATTTAAGGATATAACTTTTAGTTAACCAGACAGACCTTTACCTTCACTTATCAATGACATGCACCTTCAAGGTCAAATTTTCTCTTTTTCTTGCTGTATTTTTGTTATTAATGAATTGATTTACTTTATACTAAGATACAATATTCTTAAGAATAAGGCCAATATGTATATTGAACTCCAGTTGATCTCAACTCATGAATGACCTTGACATTAATAGTTACATTATTGAAATTTCTCTATTTTTTCGATTATTGACTTTATTTAGTAATTAACATATGGATTAGCTTCACACTTAGACAAAACCACCTTAAGGAAACGATCTTCTAAAATGTTGAACTAACCTTGCCCATGAGCTTTAAATGACTAATTGTCAAGGTCAAATTATTGAATTTTGGATAAATTGTTATAATGTTGTTATTTGTGTACGAATTTGATTTTTACTTGGACAAAAAGGGCGTCTGTGGCCGAGTGGTTAAGGTCGTTTACTTCAAACCACTTGCCCCTCACCGCTGTGGGTTCGAATCCCGACAGGGACTTTGGATTATTTCATGTGAGGAAGCTATCCAGCTAGCTTACGGAACGTCGGTGGTTCTACTCAGGTGCCCGTTCGTGCCTAAAATAATGCACGGAAGGGCACCTGAGGTCTTCCTCTACCAGTAACGCTGGAACGTCGCGATATGACCTATACTGTGTCGATGTGACGTAAAACTCAAAACAAAACAAACAAAAACTTGGACAAAAGAACTTGCAACAAAAGAAACATATTCCCTTGCTCTTTTCTGTGGCTGGTTATAACTTTGTTATTTTTAAATGGATAAGCTTCATATTAAGACAGAACAGCCTTTATTTAGGGTTCGTTATGTAAATTAAATTCTAACTGACTATGACTCATGTATGACGTTGAACTTAAAGGTCAAATTAAAATAATTTCACTGATTATTGCTATAATACAATGTAACTTGGTAATGTATCAATGGATTATCTTTATACTTGGACAAAATTACCGTTTGGGTGAGACCTTATAAAAGGGTGATCTGACCTTGACCGTCAATGTCAAATCATTGAAGTTTGGCTAAGTTGTCATATATTAGTTATTTATGTACGAATTTAATTTATACGTAGACAAAATAACACTTGTGGACACACAAACATGTTGAATAATTTGGATATGACCTTTCATACTTGTACAAAACGAGTG